TTCTAACTCAATTCTTGCGGTAAATTTGGAGCATCAGAGTATTCCTTTACAGCACTTGCTGCATGGGAAAATTGTATCTCTAGAGAGCAGAAGCTAACTTGATGCAGTAGAGAAGACAATTAGCATTACTTAGAAACCTCAGTCCACATGAAAAAGCCAGGTGGATAACCTGCTAAACCTTTCCCATCCCTCTTATGAACCACAAGTAGCAAAGCAGGATGTGCAAGCCCTATGCTTTCTAAATTAAGACCATGTAGAGCTCTGCATACATGAGGCAGACTGGGAGATCTTGACTCCGTTGTTACTCTTAAAGCTTCTTGACTTATTTATGAGGAGAAAAGAAACAGACTTATGCATTTACATCACATACCTGCATCTTCTAAGCGAGGCCCAAGGGCAAGTGCATCCATTTTAGTCTGCATATAAAGGAAGCTTACTTCTTTGTGGTTATGTATTTCCCTAAGTTTATTTTGAAAATAGTGCTTCTTGAGTTTTAAAGAATAGCTTATGGAAGAAATGTTTTTTTAAAGTTTATTTGAACTGACCAAAGAAAGGCAGTGAGGTGTGAACTGTCATGTCCTGCGCAGCAGATTTTGAGATGTTATTTAAAGGCAGAAAGCAAAAACACAAACTACCTTCTGCTTTGAGTGAGGCAACTCCATTATGCTGCTTCTAGATACCTAAAGATTAAAAACGTAACTAAAAACAAATTACGCATTGCTGTACCAAGAACGATAGTCTGTTTATGAATACATCCTGAAATATCTGTGGTTCTTATAGGCAAGACTCCTTTGAATTTTGGAAATACCTTAAGATATCTAAGAGCAGTACATATAAAAAATGTAAATATGTTCTTCTGTGCTTTAGGACACATCTTCACAAGGCTGTACTTGTCTCTCTACAGTATTTCCTTTCAGGTTTACTTGCATGGTTTTGCTGTTCCTTTCCCAGGAGCTCACTCCTCAGGGTACTCATTGGTTCTCACTGTACTGCAGAGCAGTCTTTCAGAATTGCGGTAACTGCTCTCTTTCCCAGTGCTTTTTGAGCCTATTTAGAAGCATTCTGAGAGCGACTTTGTAGTTGCTGCCTAAAAAGGCCAAACTTCACACCTGATAGCGATGTTTCAGTTACCTACCACTGCCGTTTAACCGAAATTGGTACGTCTGCTACATTGAAGGCCGCTCGTCATAAAGTTGGTAAAAGTGAATAAAGGTTAAAAAAAAATCTGATTCTCATTACAGGTTGTGTGAAAATGGAGGAAAAAAACCCTGTTGAATATACGAGCTGAACTGTTATACTTCCTAATCCTTTGAACTTCACATTAAGTTCACGTTTAAAGAGAAAAGTATCTGTATTAAAAACTGTATTTACTGATTTGACTGCATCCTGTTCATAAATACGTAAGTTGTATGAACGACAGGTTTCCTATCTAAAAAATGATTTGTTGCTACGCCTGTTCTGTTATTCAGTGTAGTGAGAATGAAGTGGAGCAGAATCCTTACCAAATATGTGACTTCAACTAATTTGGCCCATGACCATGAGCTATTCAGTTTATCCGCAGTTAAACAAAGCAAACCAGAAGTATTACTTTGATTTCCTCAACCAAAAGGGAGCACTTTGGGAGGATAACAGTAACCAGTAGCACCTAGATCCAGGGAAGACAGTTTAACAGCACCACCACCAAAAAGCACTTCCTTAACACTGACCAAAGTACCTAACAAGTTAATGCTGGATTTCAGGCTGTTTCCAGTTTCTCCTCAGTTACCTTAAAGAAAATACATGACTCCAATACTTATTTTATATGATAGTTCTGTCTGGAGTTTAGCATGAACTAGCAGAACAACAAACACTGGTCCTCAGTGACCTCTCCTGACATGGAGTATGCTTCATCTCCAATTCTTTTGGGTAGTTAAAGTGGGTGCAAGCATCCAGTTATGAGAATTTGCTGTAAGATTGTGTAATTTCAAAACCTTTTCAACAGAAGCTCTGCTATGTTTTCCCTCCTTATCAGCCTCTGTTCTACTGCGTGAAATTCGGGTAGAACAATTACATGGCAGCAATCAGATGACAGCTTCAGATTCCTAAGTCTATGATCAAAGATTAGCACTGGATTTGTTGAGTTTCATGTGCCATGTCTATAAGGTTGGAGGGGGGAAGCATGAAAACCACAGAAAGGGACAAACACTAAAACCATTCACAGCTCTACAGTGAACCTGCAGCTGTATTTCTTAATGGAAAGGAAATTGGTCAGTTTATCAGGTTGCAAATGCAAGCAGCACAGAGGAAGGCCAGAAGCACTTACAAGTGACAGATATTATTCTCAACTGCCCTTACAGCAGGACAATTTATTTCATCAATAAGCAGCACTTGTTTTTGCCCTCAGTATGAACTGAAGTTTGAATTACTTGTCTGGAAAACACTAACCCTGAACTCTAGAAATAAAAATGAACCATTACAAGATTTTAAGAGGTGCTGAAACATTTGTTTTGAGGTTTTATTACAAAAATATATTTGCAAACATACAAAATTTTGGATGAAAAATGTTCATTCTTAAACATTTATGCAATAACTTAATAACTGCAAACATACATAGGTGCTATAAAATCCATACCATACTAAAAATGTTAATGAAGCAGTATCTTCACTTGTTGACTTAAAATTCCTCTCATTCCCAGTTCCCAGAAATTTCTCCTGAAGGCCTCTTTCCCCGTCGTCTCCATCTCACAGCACATGCAGATGGCTATGGGACTGGTGCACCCACTGAAGTGGTAAAACTCAGGAATTGCTCAAAGCACATAACACACATTAAAAAATAAACTAAAAAACCAAACACAAACTAAGCCGAACAACCATATGCCCATACACTGACTAGATAAATATAAATAGACAACCAAATCAAAGATACTGCAGTATTTCCAACTTGAAGGGAAAATATTTCATCTTAACATTTGTGTAACATTGCCAGACAAAAGTGAGGTGATATATTGCACACATTCCTCCTGTTAAGATATGCTGTTCAAAGCAACACAAATAGCTGGCAAAAGGGTAGATGAATTGTTTACAATACTTTTAAAAACAAGAAGGCCCAAATTAACATTTTATTCTAAACATATTTCAGAAAGTGTTATCAGTGACTACACATGGCACAGTGGGTTTCAGAAATATACCAAAATGAAGCAGTCAGAAATGCGAGCAAAACCAAGATACATCCAGAAGCAAATGTTTAAATATTGAGTATTTATGCACAAAGCTAAACATACATAAGAAACCAAAACAAATAACTAAGCTTTTTTAAAACGTTATTCAATCATTCTCCAAATCTTGTTTAATTTGGAAAGATACACTGCTTCTAAGTTAACAGATGTTAGGCACCTTTCATATAAACTCTGCATTATTAAATAACCAGCAGATCAAGTCTAACTACAAAACTGAGGATTTTGATTTTCCTGAATAAAGCAGCAGCTGCATGTTTTGTTTTTGATTAGGCTTAACTCTTTCATTTTTAATTTAAAGTGAGTTAAACACCAGCCACAAAAAACATGCTTAGACAATGCAATTAATGTGAAGAGTAAAGTCTAAACAAACCTTTTCCTTCTCAGAACTAATAGATATAAATCCATTAAGCCAGCAGATCCACCAATAAACTCCACACTTGAAAATGGTGAAAATAAATTGCTGCAATGACTCCGTGGTCACTTCTATATGCCCTAGTTATTGCTAACACAAATCAAGTATGGCGACAAGCTGCTAATTTTAGGTTTACGCAAAAATTAAGAGGAGCAGGAAATTAAAGTTCTTAAATAACACAGGCTACATTACAAATAAACTCAAGTTCTACACTGTAGTTAAGCTTGTGTTTTACAATGCAACTTATCTCTGAAGAGATTTATCTCACTGCTCATAAATGACAGACTAACTGCAGCATACTGGAAGACACCCAAGTAGGTTCCAGTGTCTATGGGCTATACGTAGAGGCCAGGCCAAATATCCACGTAGGTGTTCAAGATGAACAATTTTTCTTGCAGTAGAAGTGATTTGATTGTTTGTCTTCCAATTCATTTTTATAGCTGGGGGAACTGATAACATACTGCTACTAGTGCATGACAAAACCAAGCCAAGGATATTCAGCTGTCAGAGTAGAGTCAAACTCCCAGAACACCACTGCTGCTCTAAGCAGTATTATTTTTCTCAACTCTGTATCACTTAAGAACTCAAAATACAACTCTTTCTATTGTTACTATATATCTTTGGATACGACTGTATCTAGCAACAAATATCATTAGTTATTTCTATTCTTAGAAACACAAATCAAATCTTCCTTCAAAGAAACTGGAAGCTGTCTGTAAAAGCCAGGGAAATATGAACCTCACCTTTGAAAAAGTGGCTCTGCATTTGGCTTACACTATGCATTCACACCCCCTCCCCCCCCCCCACAAACTGCACATGGGTTTATTAAAGTTCTTCTAAAACAAGCACTAGATTAGTTGAGACCTTATACCTAGCTGGAGTGTTACTGTTCATACCCCCACACAGTACCCTAACTCCACAATTTGTGTAGGAAGTTCCCATCTTCCTTAGCAAGGCGCAGAGTCCATATTGCTGAGTTCAAATGCTACAATTAAAGCCAATCAATTTCTTGATGAATGTGCAGGACGTTAGCATAATTCCCTGAATCCTGCACATTTTCTAACAAAACTACCATATATTTTAACTGAAAACACTGAACTCAAAGGCTGCAAAGAACTTCTCAGAAGGCAAGTAGTGCTAAAGAAAATATAGTTTCTACTAAAAAACTATGAAAAAACTAAAACAGATTAAATACATAAAAATGTAAGTATCTGTTGTATCTAAAACATACCAGTTTGTGAAAAGTAACAATTAAAGCTCATTGCTAGTCTGCAACAAAAATGACTGGGTACATTGACCATGTTAATCTCCACTAATCCTTAGGATATGCATAATTTTTTTTTTTTTTTAAAGGAACTAAATCTTTTTCTGTGTGATTCTGTAATCAGTGTTTTTCTTCAATTTCAATAGTGCTTGAGGGAAGGGGAAAAAAGCAGTGCATCAGAACTCAGTACAGACTAATTTTTTACTGAATAAACAAAAAAAATTTTTTTTTCCTTAAATTGCAAAAGCATCCTTTAAAATTAGTATTGCTGGAAAAAGTTCAGACCTGAAGTCCTGTTAACTACCTTTGTATAACTTCATGAAATAAATACAAGCCATGGGTAAACCAACACAGCAGCATAAGAAAACAGTTAGAAATCTTTCTGATTTCAAATAAGAAAGTATGATGCTAAATTCTTACATTGATGAACTAGGAAATAATATACAAAAAGCAGTAACATGTTAACTAGATACATTTCAGAGCATGAAGTATAGATAAATAATTTAGAGAGAAGCCAAGAGGAGAGCATGCAATTGTTCCCCATCTGCTTAGTTCTCAACACTGCAGTTACGATACAACTGAGGAATGAAATCCAAATAAGATATGGTCCATCCTTAAGCCAAAAGGGAAACAAAGTATTTCAGTCATATCAAACACTAATGAACAGGAAAGTGGTCTTCCAGTGGTGGCCTCCTACCTACACTTAACCTGAAAGAACCTCAACTTACAACAGAACTGTTCTGTTGCTTAAAACTAATACAATCATTGAAGATTTTGTATATTTCTGATTCCACCTTTTTAGAGAAAACAGCCTTACTCACTTGGATATCTGTTTTATGTCAAACATGAAGCAGTAAGATTAATGAAATATTTAAAAGATAAAATGATCAGCACGAGCCAGAGACTGTTAAAGTACTCAGCAAATCACGTTTTAAAGCTTTTGTTTAAAGATTTAGCTACAAACGCCTGGCTTCCAAATCCCTCTTCCCCACATCTGCCACCTTAGTCACAAGGCATTCAATTCTCACCTTAGAATTGGAACTAGGTTCCAAAATCAAGTCTTGTTCTGGTGTGGTGTAGTGTACTATACTACATATGTGCTAGTTTAAGTAGTACGTAGTCTGTAATCCTTGAGAGGTGAATACAGCTAGGAACAAAAGCCAGAGCAAACATCTGCATGATCAAAAATGCAAATGAAAGCTCATAAGCAAATTAAATCCCCTCCCCCAATAAAAAGAAAGGTCTGCTGGTGACAATCACAGTGAAAACCTAAATCACTTCTGAGAACATTACTTTCTTGAAGTATTTAAGGAATACTCTTTCCTAACGGGTTCAAATTCAAGACATTGAAAACTAAGTATCTTTTAAAAAAATATCAGTTTTATAGATGAGGCATAATTATTTCTAAAGTGGTAACATTCTAAGCAGATTTAGCTTCGATTATAGCTTAATGTTGTCTGTATTCTTGGTTAGGACTTGCAAGTAGACTTCATGAATAGTGCTGAGAAAACGGGAATCATTCTGCAGGAAAAAAAAAACATCAGAAACATTAGTAAAAAGATGTAAAAAAAAAAAAAAAGTAAAATTTAAGTCAGTTTAAGTTGTGCATAAGAGTCGCAATACGCTGCTCCCTATCTGAGGGTTAAGGCAAGGGAATTAGCTGCCTACCTGAACAAAAGGCAGTGCTGTACAGACAACACAGACTTTGAAACTGTGAAGGCAGCTAAAGCACAATGGGTACTCAGATAAAAAAACAGCAGCCCCAAGGTCAGCCCTGGCTACACAATTTCACTGTCTTCTATGCACTTTCTTTGAGAAGAGTACAAAAAAATTAAGATACAGTAAATTCCACCCTGTATACCGACATCCAAATAAAGGCTGCAGAAATGTCAAAAATTACGTGAGTTAGTTCTGCCTGCAAAATCAGTCTGAGGATTGCAGTGAGTTCTATGAAAATTCCGTGTCAAAGAATTACTGGGAAGTGAAATAGAAAGCATTTAGAGATATTTCCTGAGTCCTACTCCTTCAGATAGTAGGTAATTATCTAGGCTGAAGATGTAGTACCCTTTCTACTAAACTCTACATAGTGAGTATGTGCTCACCTTGGAGCACCCTGCAAGTACTCTGCTGAGGGGTACAGCAACTGTTGCCTCTATACAGCAATACAGAAAGAGAAGACTAGAGACGCGGACATTCCGGTCAGCTCTCTGAAGTGACCACAGCAACTTTCTTCAGACCATTAAGGTGAGAATCTCTAATGAGAACAGCGAAGACCTCTGACAACTGAACTCAGCTGCAAGATTTAGAGGCAAGCTAGTTTTGTATCTTTAAAGGAAAAAAGCCAACACGTAAATCTGGCAATTGAGATGATACTGAGGTCTGGTGTTGGCCCTTTTGACCATAATTTTTTAATTGGGAAGATATTATTTGCTACTTCAGACCAGCATTTTGAGTGCAAGACCAAGTAACATCAGCACAGAGAAAGCTAGAGAATCCTGAACTACGAGAATGGCTGTCATCCATGGTAACTTCTACTTGTTACCTATAACATAGCTGATCTGTCTAGCTACTCCCAACATTACAGACTTAATTCAGCTGAACTTTTTAGTCAGTAAGAATGGTACAGCTAGAACTTTTTGTAACTTCCATTTTAAATATACACACATTAAAGATGAGGAACAGCTTGAAGTAATTGGCAACAGGAAAGTTTTCCAAAGGAAAACAGAAACACTTAAAAGAAACTCAACCCTTGCCCCTCATACTACTGCTGCTATACTCATAACCTTTTCCTCAAGTGTTCACAAGTTGATGTGTGTGAAAGAAAGATTCAAGCAGAACTCTGTCCTTGCAAGTCATCCATCTTACAATTGAAGTCTCAGTACTGGCTACTGTACTTGTAACCCCACCCCTCAGATACTGAGTTTTCTTCAGACAGGACCTTTATTAGATGTATCAGTGCTTCCTGAAGCTGAGACCTACTGAGAACAGTAGGAGGTACTGTCTGAATCTCTGTTGTTCCAAGTGTTAAAGGTGATGAAGAATTGGCTTTATTTTCCACTTCAGTAGGTTTTGTAGCTGACTGCTGGAAAACACTAGGAGACAAGAGGATTGAAGGAGCTACTGTAGTTGTGGCTGTAACAAACTGTGGAGGTGCAACCTGCAGAAAAAAGGAAGTTAATAAGCACTGTGTCCAGAAGGAATGAATGCTGTTATAAAAAAGACTGTAGAAATGAACATAAACATATTAAAAATCGTAGCTACTGGTACAGTAAATTAGAAAGGAACTACAGAACAGCTACTCACAATGAAATGCTATTTACCAAGTAATTCAGTGTCAACAGAAATCCTTATTTTTGAAGCTGAAGAAGCTGGCAGCCTTCAGTGCTCTTACACGTAGACCCATTCCCATGTAGTTGCTACTTTCCAGTTTTTTTTTCCCCAAACATCACAGAAGATGAGCTTTTCATCTAAATCGTGAAAGGAAACTATGGGGGTTTTGTGCTGTTAGTTTTTCAAATTTCCTTCTTCTTCAGGAGTTTACACAAAGGCCAACCCTAGTGCACTTGTTTCCTATTGTTTTTGTACGTCAATGGTCTCCAAGTACACGTATGGTTGGGAGTAAAATAATTCAGAATTTCAAATACATTTAAAAATATATTTTAAAATGATCAATGAACTATAATTAAAATATTAAAGCACACAATCTTTTTCACTATAAGGCAACCGGACAGGAGAGAGAGAAAGTGGGGAAATACTTTGACAATCACCTTCCCCATCCCATCCTTCTACAGGTCTGTTTGACATTTTACCACAGAAATCCACTCTGAGGCACGTAAGGCTGACAGATCCCACAGCAGTGTTATAACTATAGTACTGAAATCGAGCAAATGAAAAACCTGTTCAAACGGTGCTGCAATACTGCAGATCCAAAAATGTATTACCATATCTGTGCTAGCACCAGCCATAAAATATACTGTATAGGAGAAAAGCACACAGCAGTTTACAGAAATACTTCCTTGATTCAGTACAGCTTGTTTCTGACCAATGAAAGCACTTCAGATATTGTCAGAGTAAGCAATATGACAATTTCAGATACCAATTACCACAGTTTTAAAATTTGCATTTTATTTTACAAGTAAACCAAATGTGCTGAAGTGTTTGTTCACCTACCTGACTGACTTTAGGTAAAGTCTTGGACTGTGGAAATACTTCTGGTTCTTTGTTTTGTTGTACAGCCTAATTTGAAAAGAGAGCATAATTCACAACTTGGATACAGCAGTAAGTAGTTTTGTTTGATAGTTTTTGTTCTTACATTATCACTGTACCCAGAAGCAAGAAAGATCAAACCTTGGCTTTGCCTATGATTGTAATTAGAAGAGGCAACCAAGTTTGTACAACCTCCAAATAGGGCACTACAGAGAATTACTACTGCCTTTGGAGGAAAAAAAACCCCACAAAATCATCTAAAGTAACATCTTTACTACAGAAGTAGCCAATAGTAAAGCAGAGCAACACTAACTGACAGAACGGTTACATGCAGCCACAGGCACTAGCCCAGCAGAGCAGCAGTAACATTTTCACCTAGTCTCTCAAACCAAGCTTATTGCTTTGGGTTATACTGAGGCATAGACAATAGATTTGCCTGCAAGAAACAAAAAGTTTAGAAGGTCCCTTACAAGTGATTCTCGGATAATACAAATCAAGGTTGTTAATTAGACAAAACAAATCAGTTTATGGCCCATTTTGCTAAATAACATCTCAGTGGAGTACACAGAAATCCCCAACAGAAGTGGTCAATACTAAAATGGTATGAAACTCCCAAGGCAAAATTATCCAAAACAGGAAGCTGTTAGTTTTGTACTTTCAAAGAAGGCATGGGCTATATACTTCCACAGAATTAACTCCTCTAGCACCAATTAATCTGCAACTGCCAATTTCTTCTCACATTACATTTTTGCTGCATTTTTCTGACACAAGTACAGGCAAATTCCTTAGAATATATTCATGTAATAACAGCAGCAGCCTGAAAAAACTCTTCCTCCATATAGAAGTCTGTCACTGATGGCAGGTACTAATGGCAAGAATTAGATTTCAAGGTTCACAATCTGATCGGTCACACACAAGAATTCCTTGATTATTTTTAAGAAGCATATATGTAACAGCATAATTTCAAATGAAAAAATATTTGCAGCCTATACAGTTTAAATCTGTAGGGACATAACTCAAAGAATACCTGCAGGGAAGGGATTTTTTTGCTGTTCAAGGTTGATGATTTACTGTGTGATTCTTTGAAGCTTTCTGGTGTTGCAAGTTGGCCAATCGAGGCAGAGATGTTTGGTGTTAAGGAAGTCTTAGTGATAGACTGCTGTTGCATTTGGTCATGCTGTGGAGTCAACCTGAGTTTCTGGAGAAGATCAACACCTGTATGGGACGTGTTTGAAACAGGTCCTGTATTTGCTGATGTCAAGGGTGTTATAAGCTGGCTCTGGCCAGCCATTAAATTCTGTGGAGCATGGTTCACTTCAGAAGGCTGATTCACTAGCGGGGTTATCTGCTTGGTAGCTTGCTGCATAACTTGCATTAGACTGTTGTTTTGCTTTAGGCCAGGAAGCATTTGAGCAGGAGCAGCATCCATTGTTGAGGATGAATTAAGTATAGGGCTTAAGCGAACTGAATAGCTTGAAACATCAGGCTGGGAAACCGAGGCTGGAGGTATAAGCATAGGTGTCAAACATTCCTGTTGACTCAAAGGATTGGCACTAGCTTTAACGTTCGGACTTTCCGATTTCCCTTGTGGTGGTTGTATTACTGCTGTCTGGTCAAAGGAAAAAGGCAAAAGCAAGTTTTGTTGCTCTCTGGCAGAGGACTCAGTCTGCAACTTCTCCATTCTCTCTGGATTGGGATACAGAGGTAAAGGCTGTTCCTTTGGTACAGAGGTCCCAAAGAGTTCTTCTAAAGTCAGATGCTTTGGCCTTGACTGAAATGGCTAAAAAGAACAGAGAAGGAAGTTTATAATTAATATAATATAATTAATTTGGAAAGAAAAGATTAATGTGCCTCTGACAAAGTCAGTATTATAATTTCAAGAAAACTATGAAAAACAGCTAAGTCAGATGTATTCAAAATACAATTTGGAAATCAACTGTCCTCTGTTTAGAGAAACGTTTAAGTCCATTTCATTTACAAGGAATATCCAGTCTATATAAACTAATCACATCCTGCCCCTCCCCCTGACTCAAAGGTTTTATACATAAATATTGTTGAACCGTGACACTGCTAATTAACTCAAGACTAGCCATGTTTCACAATACAGCAAATTCCAAGAGACTCCATCAATATAAAATAAGCTGGATAACTGACAGCAGCCATCTAAAGCTGACGGGATTCAAGCCACGTCAGTTGTTCCAAATGTGAACAAATAATAATATACTAGTAACTGCACACAACCATGCAGACTACCACTTGTACTTCAGTAAATTAAACTCTGTGTTCAGTTATGGCCTTCTGCTGAAGCACTATACGTTGGTAATTTCACAAGTTTTAAGGAGGCAAAAGTTTTACAAGTTTTAACTCCGGCAAGCCTGGCTCTGGGGAAGACATTTTGAGCCACCTGGGGTTTGAAATGTGATAGCTACAGTGTTTTGCTGAAAGTGTAATAAAACATCAAGCCAAAGTTGGTTCTGTCACTAAATCCTATACTCACATTAATGTAAGGTACTGAAAAAAAATATACATTTCCTCTAATGTGCTGAAAGTCTCTTAGATCAAATTTCCTTGAGAAATTTAAACAGCATTCCCTATGTTAAAAAAACAATACAAGGTCAGCAAAGAGAAACAGCTGTCCACTAAGAACTTGTGTATTACTGTTATTTTTTTCCCCTTCAAAAACAAGTTATGTTGTGAACAGTGCACTCCTATCAAATCATATGTTGGCTACACAAATAGAAAAATGCTTCTTCCCTTATTTTAGGAGTCTCCTCAGAAAAAGGATTAGTCTCAGTATAGGAGAAATAGGAGAAGTCCTAATAAGACAACTAAGGTGACACGTAGTAACAAAAATAACCCAAGTCATTTGTTTTCACTTTCTCCTTTCAAAGAAAAAGTAACAACAGAATGAGAAAGCAAATCAAAGGTAGGGTTGAGCAGACCTGCATGCATTTCAGCTGCTAAAGTAGCAATACAGTATAGTTCAAACAGCTGTCCAACAGATTTCAAATATTTTTGGAAGCATTTAAAAAAAATTAAATCAAACCTAATGAATCACAGGCTCATGCTTACCATTTTGCAGAAAAAAGAATGCTTTTTCTCTAGGAGTTTGAGCTAATTCCTCATTCTCTACTTGCCAGTTCTACCATAAAATAAGCAAGATTTATTCCAAGCCAGTTATTTTAGCTGAAATTGTTTCAAATGCCTTTTTCTACAGAGAAAAGAAACAGCTACTAACAACAATATCTCAAACTGTTCCTGCTTTTTTTTTTTTTTTAGGTTGCACAGGACCAGAAGTTATGTAAAACAGCTGGACTAAAATATAACCTTCTGTTCAGAAGACTGAATGGCCTGCAGCATAACTCCAGCATGTTCTTATGGTATGTCAAAACAAAGACAGTATTGTGCAATGACAACTACTATATCACAACATTGCTATGCTTGTTCCAATTTTACTAACACTGATAACAGTAATGAACATAGTGCAGTGCAGATAACATGTAAGCAGCCTAGCACAAAGCCTTGAGCTTGAAATCTTACTGAATTCTGCCCAGGTTACTCGTTTGTGCCACCAATGCTGCTATTTATTAATAGCTGGCTTAGTGCCAGGCACACTCATCTTGCATTTAATTCTACTGTTTACAAACCTTGCCAATTCCTATGCTAGGAAGTCTTCCTATGAAGCTGTTTTCAAACCTTCTCCACTGATCTTATCACTGTAAAGACCCATTCTTCAAGGACAAAAATTCTGTTAAGGAGTAAGTGACTATTTCATCTGAAATTCTGCTTTTAACCTCAGTATGATGAGCTGACTAGCCTCTCTTTATTAACTCACTGCTATCTATCAAGCTCCAATCTCGGTCACGTTAGCCGCTTCCACGGACATAGACACAAACACGAGTTAGTTCCCAACATGATACACAGCACATCCCTTTGCTTGACTCATCTCTGGCTGAGTTGCATTTTAAGCATGTCATCAACTCACTGTGTTATGGAGACCCTTCTCTGCAGGGGCTCGCAAAGAGGGCAACACGATCATTCTACTTGATAGGACCAGAGCGCTGCCCAGAGGGTTCCTCCAGAAATCATTTCAGATACATTGAGACATGCGAATTAGCAGCCAGAGCTTGTGCTAAGAAATTTAATTTCAGTGTTCTAGTTCAGTTTTGCTCACCACTGGTGCAAAAACATTTCATGACACCACCGATTTTCTTTTTGAACTGGATACATAATTCGAACCTCTAAATATCACGGAGCAGATATCGATTTGCCATTCCCACATCTGTGACATCTTTAGGAAGTAATCGATATACAAACGTGACATTCTGAGAGGGGTTTCAGGATCTTAAAGTACTTATATGCACAATAGTTTTTAATTTCACTGGTTATCTGCTCTAATGAGGTAAAAATATACTCTTACTGTTGAAATTGTTTTCTTCATTCAGTAGCCCACATTATTAAAAAAGAAATTAAGAACAATCATCACTGTATTGTATTTGAACCCATCCAGTTTTACAAAAGTAAAGTATCATACATAGCAACCATTTCCCCCCCTCAATATCTCTGCAGCTATAGTTTTAAGTTGCTCAACAGAAAAGGCATTAAAGCACACTGCTTTATCTGCTCTGTAAATTTGTTAATTATTTCATAGCATTTTACTAGAATCTCATCTTCCTAATTTTTTCCCTTGCTACTTATTACTGTTTGGCAAGTTCAGCCATTTCAGCTAATTACGTGGCCAAAAAGACTATGTTTCTTCTAAACAAAGCCTCAGGCAGACCTCTGCCAGGCCTCAAGCATAAGCATGCAGCAAGCAGAGCTGGCTGCCAGGGGTCAGTCTATCACTTGTGCTGGTTCTACATCAGAAGTGCTGTTGAGATGGAGGGCACTGTGACAGCCAGTAATCCGAAGAAATTTCTCTTGTCCTCCTGTTTTAACCCATCGACTTAAGCAGATTTTTGCTACTCATATCCTAACCTGAACTAGATATTATTTTTACTACAAATTAAGTTTTTGTTTACAAATATTAAATGAAAAGTCACACACATTTTCCTCAGGCATTTCCTTTTTCAGACATGGTGGTTTACTGCATTCAAAACATAACAGTAAAGCTACAGGAAGGACCCGGAGGCAGACTCCTCCAGATCACCTCAGTGGGGTATTTTCTGTAGAGAACTGCTCCTGATCTTTCTGTCCCCACTGGGTGGCACTGTAAGCAGGTACAAGTTGGTACAGAGAATTTAGATGTAGCACAAGCTATCATTTTAAAACCAATTTCTAGAGAGCATTATATGAAGGTGCTTTGTTTATAAATGCTTACCAGAAAAAAGGCAATTAAAGTCAATTAATGTACTTTTGCAGCCTACATTTCAACCACTCCAGTGATTACACTATTTTGAGAACAAGTTTCCCATGCTCAAAGACACTTAAATGAAGCACAGTTTATTGCCACTACCTTTTTTAAAAAAACCAACAAAAAGCCAACTGTGGCTTAATCTTCAGTTACAGTGGTAACACTAGGCTTTAGAATCTGTACATACAAAGGTAGATGCTGACTGAACATTTATCTAATATTTATCCGAAACAGATCTAAGCACTGTGCATGCAATTAAATTACCACAAACTTGAGCAACATTCTTTACTGACAGTGCTGAAAAAATGTTTGGAAGATATTCTTTGCTGCCAAGGAAGGAATGCAAAGCTGAAGTCTAAAACAAAAAAAATAATCAGAAAATCCAGCAATTCACCAATGATTTCAGTTACTAGGAGTGTAGCTACACGTTTGGATGCAGCACAGACACACCTTAAGTACAGGTCTCAGACAGGGGAAAGCAGGGCTTGAGCTTCTGCTCTGAAGTCTACAGAACAGTGTACAACAGACTGATGCCATATTCACTCTGTCGCTGTGACACAGGTGATTTTTGTCTGCTTCCTCACTCTGCAGTCATTTTGCACAGAGCTCTACACTATCATGGACTGACAGCATAGAGCCCATGACACACCAGGATCTGAGTTAACCCATTTAAACACACTTGAATATTCACTGTACCATGGACACCATCTTATATTTTTAAGCATTAAGGCAAAAAAAATGGATTGTAGGCTCCTAAGAGCCTTAAAACCCACTAGTTTATCAAGTGGGGGGTGGAGGTGGTGAATCATACCAGCTGATCTCAGACAAGCAGTCAGGAGATGAGAATAGAGACTAAAACCCATTCTTAAACTGAATTTACACTTCCAAATGTATTTAAAGTTAAGCAAAATACATTCAGCAAGATGATGCTGCAGGCATTTCTGGTACAAAAACAAAGTACTAAATAAAGAAGTAGCACCTTATATATGTTTGAATTAAACTTACTTGATCTTGCACTTGTAATGAAGTGTTTTGTTCAGAAGTCTCTGTGCTTTCTGGCTTTGTGGCATTCGCATGTTGTTGCACACCAGAACTTGACATGACACTCAAATCATTGACTTGATTCTGGGGAAAAAAAAAAATACAGACCCACTTTGGTCAAAACACTGACTTTTGACAGACATCATAGAATTCCCAAGTCTCAGGAAGTAAAATCATACCAAGATATACATTATCTGGCATGAGTTCATAACGCTTATACATTATCTGGCATGTGTTCATAACACTTTTCCTTTTAAAGGAGTGAATAAAACAAAGAAAATAAAGAGAGGCTTTTCACATTCTCTTCCTGCATTAGCTGCCATTGAGGACATTAAATCAAGAACTTAAAGCTCCTTAGAAAAAAACTTGTCAGAAATCATTCTGAAGCAATTGGATAAAGAGCTTGTTGATGACTTATTTCCACTAGATTTTAATAACGTGCAGTATTTTCAGAAGATGTTAACTGGGTTTTAGGTGAATAAGACTAAAAGGACAAGAAAGTCAAAGTAATAATAAGCTCACAACTGTTTACAGATTGAGTTGACTTTCATGCTTAACAAATACATAAACAACACTTATTACAACCTAAAGCACTAGTGGAAGAGCAACCATAGAACTAACAGTCTAGCATTTAGTAGATGAACCTAACTACACCTTATCTCTATATGGCTGAACATCAGCACAACACACCATTTCTTTGTCATTTACCTGTCACAGCAACAAAATATAGGTTAAACCTTTCAGCAAGTTAGAAACAATCTGAGCTTTATTATTGTTTTCTAAATCTATTTGAAAGAGATAAATACAAAATGGACAGAGAAACAACTCCTGCCTTTATGCCTTTTAGCCACCAATTTGAAAGGTTAGCAGGCCTCTTTTTGGGCCTGAAATAGTGGACTGCCTTAGAGTTAATTACAGAAACAAAACAAAATACAGAGATTTCCTTCACTAGAGGATAATCCGCAATGTTTCCATTCTCAGAATGAAATACACACAAAAACACTATAAAAAAACATCCATTCACTTCATTAAAAAAAAAATCTCAGAACTCATTCATTTTCACATATGGCCTGGATGCAGCAAGTACTTGAAGGATTTAAGCTGATTTGGAATCCTAGATTAAATCACTCAGACCTTCATAAATCTCTTTTTCACTCTCTGCCCCCTTCTCATGCTGACACTCTGCCAATCTCTCGTGGGCTGCACACAAGGATTACTGTATGATCCATCTGGAATGTACCATGCAAATAAGTACTTTCTGCTCCTAAATACAAATTCAAGTGTAATTATTGAGTGCCATAAAATAATTTTTAAAAAATTTAGAAAGGATATCTTAAGAAGCCATCTTCAAGTTGCTTGCCTAATCATATTAACAATGATGTATGCTGGTTACGAGGAACTCTATAATTAACACGCCTGAATCTTGGCACTAAAGCTGGAGCGGTCAGTAGAACATCCTCCAAAAAGTTTGCTCAATTCTATTTATCTACCAACTTGTTCAGAACTGCAGTCATAGCAGGTTAATGGATTAAGTTTGGCAGATTCAGTTTTCAGCTCACATACATACAAAGCAAAGTTTTTCTAGTTACAAAGGTGCTTTAAAAGCATCAGGCAGCAAAATCAAGATTGAGATGTAAAAAAGTCAGATATGTAGTACATCTGTGCATTTCCATACTGTGTGACAGCTGCCACAGCCTATTTATCAGTATTTTACTTTTCTACAGAGCTTCATCCACTATGCTTAGGAATTCTGTTACTAAGGAAAAGCTTTCAACATTCTCACACAAAAAGACCAGAAAATTAAGAATGGAGAAGCCAAAATATCTGGAGTGATTTTTTTTCCTTTCATAAGAAAAAAGCCTTCTATTTCTTCAAATCTGTCTTACTTGATACAACATTGAAAAATGAGTCATTCAGCCTTTGATGCTCCCTTTTGTGCTCTAACAAAAACTGCTACTTCGTATGAAAGCCAACATCGTGAAAGACCTTCTTCTCAAACAGGATTAATGCATTAAGCATTAGAGGCAGATGTTCTTTGGTATTTACATTAAAACATTCTGAAAACAATACTGATTTTCACAAACTAGTATCTCGTCCAGGTCAGCTACAGTCTATGGTCTGTCACATTCATCTATCCTCATGCTACGTGAAAAACTGCACAGAAGTTGGCTTGCACATGGCTTAGCCCACGTTTTTTTTTTTTTCCCCTCCCATTCCACAATGTGTTGTAGCAACCTCGAATCCTATGAAGATCTTGCATTTACTCAGTAGGAACTCTGAAGCATCCCACAGCACAAGAAATAAAACACTGAAATGCTTCTACCTTTCTCCCACCAATACAGCTAAAAGAACCCATACCATCTCTGCCACATTATGCCAAGACATTACTATTGTATATTCTTGTATCTGTAGGCTTACAAAAAAATGCCTTCAGAATTTCTAGGGCAATTTGTGCAAAACCCAGAAAAAGTAACACTTGTGTCTTCCACGTTTGAATTTGGCTCTCAGGACTATGCAAATTAATTACTTCAAGAGAACTAAGATTTTCCTTCATTATCTAAACTTGTGAATTTAATAGTGGCAACAGACTATTCTGCACTCAGAACCCACTGTTCTGAGATAATTTATTATGGGATAGACACATGGTAGGCAGAATGAAGTAGTACACTAGGGAACAGCAGGAAAAGTTTACACCTGGTCTACAGCAGTTAAAATATGCTTTATAGAATGTAAATGTGCACTGACTAAATTGCAACCCTTTTCCACGGGATTTATTTTTTTACTATGAATACTGATATCGTCAGGTATAATTTTTTTTGCTACTCCTAGAGATAATTTTCTCACAGCATTAGCAATTTTTGTGGAATGGGTCTATCAAATTCCATTTTCAAGTCATATGACAGAATCAATGAGACTTTCTTAATACAGTATAGTGAGGAAGCAAACAAGGCAGCAGTGTGACAACAAGACTACTGGAACAATGGCAGAGAATGCTTTCTCTTTAAAAGAAACATATTCACGTGTGTTAAAAACTACTTTCTATATAGGTTTTCCAACCAACAAAAAGATAAAAAAAAATTGGCTAAGTTGCCTGCTTAAGCCAAGAATTTCACCTCAAATAACCACAGCCCTGTAGGTCACTGCGCATCTCTGTTCGTATCACAAACACAGGATAGTGCACAGCTAGTGGGCTTCTTTCTTATTTAAGGCCAAAGCAATTTGGTATGCAACCCAATGAATGTTGTTGATTATGGCATGAATAACAGCAAACCTCCTCCAGTGATTTTCAATACAGAGGGAAAAAAACTAAAACACAAATGTCAGCTACTATTAAGGAATATTCACAGAAGTGGAGCTTCAGGATCAAAAAAACCCAGTCATCTACTGTTCTACAGTGTTACATATATGTTCACATTTTCTTTGTGACTGATTTCAAGACATGACAGTAGAGAAATACCGATACTATGGAGCTTTGGCATCTATTTGAGAAAAAAAAAAAGTATTTGTTGCATTTGCTTCCCCAGGTATCTGTTTTCAATACAGTGCTTTTTCTCCAGGAGGTAACAATTCAAATATACAAAATTTCAGGCCCAATAAATTACAGGTTACACGTACTACTTTCAATCTTAGATGACAGCACACTACACAGTACAACTTAGTACACAAGAATACTTCTCTACCATTGCTGTCTCACAGGTCACAAGGGATGCATTTCACCAGACTCCACACGAGGCCTTAACCCCCTTACTTGGAAGGGATTTCTTTTGCTCATAATGCAAGAAAATAAATACATTTCCTTACTCGCTCATATTCAACCTTGGCTTTACTGAGCATTTCCAAGATGTCAATAGGTCTGTTTTCACTGCAGCCATTTGTTCTGCTGGGACTTTTTCTGTCCTGAGAAACTTGTTGTGATCTCTGAGCTTCTTGTTCTACCACTCTGTAACAGGAAAGGAGAAATGGGTTTTCAAAATTGTATCTGGAATGCACATCTTCTAGAAGACAGTGAAGAAAACCACAATTCACAGAATATAAACATATTTTGTTCTGCTTAAATGAAAACCTAACACATAGTTGGCCAAAGTTACAAACACAGCACTGGTTTTAAGTCAGCATTTGCCTGCAGTAAACACTGCTTCTGTAAAACTGCCATTTTATTACAAAAAAATGCCTAAACATGTGGACATCAGTGTCATACAAAGAGTACATGCATTATAACAAAAACTGAGTAAAAGATTTTTTTTTTTTTATTCCTTACTTCTTAACATGCAGTGTTTCCATGTTCAGCCACACCAGGTCACGCTATTCAACAAAATCAATTACAAACCAGTTCTAATTTAGGACAGGGCCTACCATTAGAAAACAACACTCAGGGGAAGAAGACAGCTGGCTCATACCAGATGTCTCTGGAGCCAGTCTGGAAAGAAGCTTAGAGCAAGCTACCTTTCCTCCCTCTAAGAGCTTTGGAAAGAAGAGCAAACCATTTTCTTCTCTAGCTGCCTAGCAGTAAATCCAATTACTTGTAGGGTTATAACAATGCACTTCCTCTGGTCTTTGACACCTACAGCTCATTCACCACTTCTTCACTATCCATACTGCCTTAAGACTAAGAAAACTTGTTAAAAGATGATTAAGATGCACATAAGGAAGATGTATTCCTCATGCATTTCATTAATGAAAGTAAAGGCAACATACATTTCTACCCTTAATCCATATACAGTTCACAAGATATACATGGCCATGCAATGCACTAATGCTTATCTTCTTGAAATAAACACACACCAGCCTGTAATCCCCTCTTTTTTTAAGCCTGCATTAATCAAATATGTTAAGAAAAAAAAACAAGCACAGAAAGCAGGGCAGAGCTCTGGAGCTGGCACATCACCTAAACTCTCATGCTGCAGAGCTGATGGGGCAGCCGAGAGGTGCCATCACAGCAATCACAGAAAGCGTCAATCATTCCAGCCTCCAGTTTCTTCTGGTCAGCTAGGATTCAGGAATAACTCTGCAGCATATAGACTGCTGAGTAAATAGACATTTGTATGTACCTCTACATTACCGCTCCTAAAGAAAAAACAGCACAAGTCTGCAATTCCTCCCAGTTTTCTAGCAGCTAAGACCCTTCAGTAGAGTTCAACCGGGTTTACTTCAAGAAAGATTAGATTAAAAAAGGCAACAGACTTAACCAGGAAAATTAGTTTCAAAGCTTCTAATCATACACACTGCTTATTTATCCAGATTTTCATTATTCAGTACAACTTTCTCTATTTGTATGCAAGCATTAACCTGCAAACCTAACTCAGAATCTGGGGGCCAATCTACTCTGCCAGACAATTTCCAAGAATTGCAACATGTGCTGGTTTGGCTGAAGCAGCTCAATACTGTACAAACGTTTCTATGGTGACACCATCAGAGTACATTTTGTTCTAGCACCCCACATGGTCATACAGTCCTGACTTGGGACTTGTATAAATGTAAATCCAAAACTAGGGATGAGAGAAGGCAAGATGAAAGAAACAGAACACTTTGCTGAGATTTAAGTGTCAGCATGGCTACATCAGGAAAAATAAACACTTCAGTTAAAGGGCAAATTCTGGACAGCTGAAGTCATGCATGTTCTGCCTTGTAGGTGAAAGGAAGGCTTGTGGCTTTGGACTCTCCTTTCCTCACTAGTTGTTCCAAAAGCTTTCAACAAAACATCTTCCCATTGAAATGATACTAGCTGGTATATAAAAAAATTTCAACAAGTATATCAATTTTACAGAGGCATTTCAGAAATATTGCTACAGAGCATTTCACAATTGTTTTTTTGTGTCCACTACAAGGTGTTACTTACCTTTTTCATTTTTTTTTTTCTTAAAGAATAATAAAAATTATCTTCTCATGTAGACAAGCATAAATACCTCTTTAGTGTAGCCTCGTGCAGGTTACATTCAGATGCTGGCGGGAGTAAATGCCCCAAACTCTGTACCCCCAAAACTCAGATACAAGCAATGAGCTAGAACTGGAAGAGTATCTCAAAATAGTTTAGGTCAGATGGCTGAAATAGGTTAAATCAAGCCTACAAGCTAACCTCAGTATAAAAATATTACAACTTTCATGTCAGAAAGCAATGAAGTTCCACAAAGACTTGGATTCTGGCAAATATGAGGAAAAACTCTGTTTTATGCCTATGCCTTTTAGAAATCCTACCCTTCGCTAACAATTTCCACTTGACCCAAATTAATTCCTTCTGAAGTGGTTTGAACACTCCTATAGACTTCTTTCACACTAAGAAGTATTCCAGAATTTTCTAAAGACAACGCTCAGAAACACCTTAGCTGGAGAAAAACATCATAAGAAAAAGCTTCCACTAACACTAGTCTATACTCTGAGTACGCTCTGTATGCAATCAGGATTAAGACTTCTTTAAACAAGGCCTGCTGTTTCTTTCCATTATATCAGATAGTGGAAGAGGCACACATTCCTTCAGGGACACAGTAGTGGTTGTGACAGTTTGCTCAAGAATAACTGCAGTTACAGCACTAAAAAAATACCTGGCACAACCTCACAGAAGAGTATGGGTGGAGGACAAGGAGAGAGAGAATGTGAGAAGTGAAGATTACAAAGCCTGTGAAGAGTAATTTACTTTCCTTTTGAAAGATAAGCCACCAAAATATAAATGGAAGGCTGGCAATCTTGTTAACTCAATCTGGCACAATAAGGTCAACTCAAACAGCAGGAAAGAGAATGCAAATCTCCTTGCAACCTTTTATGGTTATGTTTTTGAATCTCCGAGGTGCTCAGAAGTCAGTACATTTTCCAATAAGCGACACAACAAAACCCACCTAAACCAACCGGTACTAACAGCCACAGTCCAAAATTCCACTGCTCACTATAAAAAAAAACAACAATGAAACAATATTTTTGGAAGACAAATAGTTACTGAAAAATACACTGAACTAAAGTATGGTAGGGCCTGCTGCCATGCAGAAAAATGCTAAATACCTCTCTCAGTATACAAAAATGGCTTCCTCAAATTCTTTTGTTACTCCTAAAGCAATACACAGGAGTATTTAAGCATTCTATATTCTAACAATGCAGAAAGACCTAAAAAAAACCAAACTTAAGTAATGAAAGTAATGAAGGACTTACTACTAGCAGAACTTCAGCTAGCACAGTCAACTTACACCAAATTAATACTTCTTATTTATTTCCATGGAAACTACAAGAGGTAGAAAGAGCACAATAACACTATTTGAGCGTCCTGTAGCTGAGAATTTGTTGTCTTTCAACAGTCACCACCACTAGCTATGCATTTTTGCCAGCAGTGAACAAGGCCCATGCACTGAGCTAGTAAAGTCCGTACCAGCAGAAGTGCCCTGCTGCCACCACTGCTGAAATGCAACATCTACCACTCACTGAGCTCATGACTACTGTTTAGTCTCCATAAACATTCAGCAAGCACCAATATCAGTGGATGCCATTTTTTCCACATAGAGGAATTTAATCCTATCCCTTTGCTTCATACACACATCCACGTCGGAGGCCCTTTTGTCAGACTGCCTGCCTGCTGCCATCCGTCACACGACAGCAACATGCCATGGAATACTGCCTTTCCACCAGCAGTCAACTCTGATGTCATGGGCCAACGTAATACAGGAGGAGCACTACTTTCAGAGCAGTCCTTGTACTAGCAAAAGACAATCATACTGACACAGGGGTCCATGCTGTTCAGAACAATTAACTATCTGCATTCTGTAAGTATTAAATCAGTAAGTTTTTATAACTACATATTTCTCTAGTTTCACTTGCATCAGAAGTTTTAAGTGACATTGGTCAAGACAGGCATGAAACAGATTTTTAGGAATGTTAACTCTAATTTCAGTTTCCAAGATCTTGCAACCCACAATCATTCCAATACAAAAAAAAAAAAAAAAAAACAGCAATTCATCTTGAAATGACATTTACACTTCATCTACTTTACATATTATGTTTGCCTGTCTTTAAAGATGGCATGATTTGAAAGACATTTTGTTGATTAAGGCATCCAGCAGAAAATTCAGAAAGCAGTAATGGTGAAGAAAAGCAAAGCAGAGTACAAAGGAAGAGAAAATACTCCATAAAACACATTCTGCTTTTTTGCTGGGGTGACTACCCCATCCCATGCTTCAAAACTCTTCCCTTTTGCAGAATCACAGACCTGCAGGGGTTATACTGAAAATGTACTTAAGCCTATTCTCATCCTCTTCAACAGACCAGACAATCAGCAGCACAACACATCTGAAGCAAAGAAATAACCACAAGACTCTCTACCTTTCAATCACTAAGCACATCATACTGCAAACTTAACCAGCTTCAGCTTCCCTTGGCCTCTCTTGTTCAGACTTCTACACTCTGAAGTCCTTTCCAGCAGTGCCAGTGCAACCATCCGCACTACAGAACAGATGCGGAAACTGTACAGCTGTACGGACAGCAGCTTGAACACTTTGTTACTGCAAACACAACTTCTAAAGTTTCTTTAAAACAAGATCATTTCAGAAATGCTCCTGCTGCACAGCCTGTGAAGAGACTTCAGGAGTCTCAGGAGCTACAAAATAAGAGCAGACGTGGCAGCATTATAAACAATCTTTTATCTCCAGAAAAAGAAAAAAAATGAGATCTGTATAATAACCCAGCAATTTAGCAACAACAAGCCTTTATTTCACTATTCAGCCAATGCTCCTTATGCAATTTTTAGTTCTGCAATATTTCTCTCTATGCAAAACAAAAGTACAATACATAGTGGTTGTATTACGTGAAAGAATTACAAAGAACAAAACAGCAGTACTTACTTAGCCATGAGTTTTGCTATTCGATGACAGTCATTCTTGTCATAAAACCAGATACTGTAAATTGACACTTGAAAACAAGGAAAAAAAAAGGCAGTGTAAGACAACAGTTGGTAAATAAATCAGTAGGAAGGAAGCAAAAAAAACCAGCCCATTGGCTCTGCAATATGTGAATTAACATCAACTCAAACGTCCTCTGCATGATCAAATACTTTCTAAATAAGTGATTACAAATAGCATGTAAGCAAACACATACACAGTGTAAATCAGATTAAATGGATGCATGACAAGACTTTGATGTTTGATCACAAATAAAAATATCAAGGAAATAACATACCAGATGCCTTCTTACTACAGTTGCAACCCTCTACTTAGAATGGCAGATTTTACCACTAAACTGGGCTAAAGACCACCCTTGTGTCAGGGTTTTTTTGTTTTTGTTTTTGGTTTTTTTGAACACTCGTTTTTAAATTTGTCAGTTTTTGCAGTTCAACGAACACATTCAAGTTTGAGTTACGAGAATTCAGTCAGAGGCTCTGTGGAAGGTGCCCTCTCCAAATTCTTTTTTCTAAGGAGTAATAGCATTGGAAGGAAGTGGCAGCAAAGCTCCAATCACACTTTCACACTCACGGAGCAGCTTAAAACTAGATGCAGATTGAACACTACTCATTGAAGGCAGCAATGACAAAACAGCAAGGGCAAAAGGTTTTCAGCTCAGCAAGTCACCAAGCTCAACCTGGCTTTCAGGACAAGGAAAACTCCCCGAAAGTTGGCCAAATTAGATACTGACCATTCAGCTGAAAGACATCAGAAACATGGTCAGCAGTGCCAACATGGAATTTATTTAGCAATCACATCATAATGATGTCATTTTTACCCTCACACATCCTCATCTCCTCATGGGATGGCCCAAAGCTGTGCCAACACAACAGATCTTCAGAACCATATTTGATTCAATTCACACAGCTAGTTATTTCATATCTTGCTTCACCAATGAAATTTACCAATGTACAGCGTAAAATTTCTCAAAAGGCAATTAGACATTTTACATATTGCCACTGGATTGTTTTCATGCCTGAAAAAGATAGTTTTAGCCTAAGTCATCTTTATATTGATGTTCATGTCAATATTTTTATTAATTGAAATCTGTAAAGGGAAAGAATGAGTTAAAGATACATATTTGTAACTAACTTTTTGTAACTAGTAACATCTTGACACTTCAAGATTTTTATTATTTAAAGTCCCTTCCTGCCCTCCCAACTCAAAATCTCAACCAAAGCCCATTCAAAATTACTTTGTCACACCAAAAATTTCAGAACTTCTAGTTACCCTAGTCTTACTGTATCAGACAAAACTGCTGTGCCCACATGTTCTTTCTATAACAACATCCTAGGACAAACCACAGTCCTACTTTATCTTCTTATTGTTCTTCCAAACAACTACATTCAAGTACGTTTCTTTAAAAGTTCTAGAATAAATAATAACCAATAAAGCTCTTCTAGTCATAAGCAAATAAGTCAATATAGCACAATTTAAAGCCTGTCCTAGAAAACAACATAAGCCAATTAAAAAGCACTTCATACATGTAGACAATGTTTATGAAACATTTATGAAAATTGACTTTAATATAACTGGCCATCTATCACATCGAAACCTAAAACACTTCAGTTTGAGCTATTTCTTTAGTCATAAAGTAGATTTTAATGCTAAATAAAAGCTCCTTCCTTTCCTACTATCTTTTAGCAGATACACTACTAAAAGAAGAAAGCTTCTTCAAAAGCATACTTACTGAAGAAATAAAGATAAGGAACCTATAATGATAACTTAATGGGACCAATGATAAGAGTAGCACACTGTTCTGAAGTAGATTCAAAAACTTGGCTCTGTCTACAGAGTATCATTCCCACCTCACCAGACACTTTGTAGTACTGACAAATAATTGCAAGGAGTCACCAAAGAACACTAACAATGTTACAAAGATCTAAAGCAGATTATGAACATGTGCCCTTGGGCATTACATTAAACAGAGTCCAACAGACTCCAGTGTTCGCCTTCCTCTTTTAGAAAGAGGACTCCTTTGTACCATCAGTTCAGCTCTCTCAGACACTTTTCAACTCTCTGCATCAACTGATCACTACATATGATACAACTTTAGCTAACAGCATCCTTGTATTCGACTCAGTACTTCTCCAACCTGGATTGTCAGATCCAGTAAACACTGGCTGAATGTTGGACATCTCATGGCATGTCTTTCCACTACAGCTCTATACCAGTTTCATCCAACCTCTCTGCTCACTTAATTTTCCACCTACTTCAACACTTCTACTCTGTCTTTTCTATACTCACTGCTAGGCAGCATCTTCAGTAATTAAGTAGAGTCAATCTGTAATCATCATCAATATCTTTCAGTTGGATTCACTTTACATTAACAGATGAAGTCATGAGTAACTCATATCAAAGCCAAACCAGACAATAAATTACTGGCAAATTGTTTTATCTTCATCTAAATTGTTCTCAGGCATTAGGTATCTGGGCAAGTTCATTATGCCACTTTTATTAATAACAGCAATTCAAGTATTACACAAGTAATATCCAACTTCTCATGTTTACCTCTTCTACACTGGGATCCTGCTGCTTCATGGAGCAGCCAGATTACTGTTCCAATGCTGTCCAGATAACAGATCCAACTCAGAGCAGGGATAACACACCACCACATCAAGAGAGGCCATGCACTGGCAACATAACGAAGGCTTCATTACACGCCTGCAGGTTTCATTTTGAATTAGTGGAAAGAGACAGCCTTACCACTCACACTCTCACAACTTTGCCATTACTCATACTACCTCAATCCACCCTCCAGTCGGTTTCATCCAGACCAGTTCCTTGATATTGTTTACACATCAGCTTGACAACCATGCTGTCTGTCACAAGAGAGAGGACAGAAACAAGACACTCAGGGCTGCAGAGGAGGGCAAAGTTGCTGAAACGTTCATGAGAATGTGGCCTGAGAATACTGTGTTGAAAGAGAAGTATGTGGGGTTCATCAGGAGTGCCAGTTTGAGAGACTGCAGACACTACCACTCTCTTGCCTAAGGCAGGTTAGCCATCTGTGCAGATATGGCTTGATCTCATCCAAAAAGATGATACATTTTAAAAAGTTACCATAACTAGATGGAAGACTTCATGGGAAGAGAGAAAAAATATTTTACAGTTCCATTTTATACATTATACAGTGACTGAAGCAGAAAGAGCCAAACTCTGCGAAGAAAGGATCATATTTTGAAATCGTCCTAAAATATAACAAATGACAATAACTTAATTTTATCTCACTCCCATAGAAGAGCTGACATAGGCATCATTTTACATTTCAAATAGTTAAAGACAAATGCACATAATTAAGCTCTTCAAGCTTGTACTTCAGTAGAAGGATTAGCTGAAATCTCAAGTCTCCCCAGACACTCTGCTCTAATCTCCTTCTCACCAAGATTCCTCATTCACTACTTTTACTTTCCTTAATTTTAATGTTAGCCTTTGCATAGATTTATAAATCAGGAGAAATCATTCTATAAAAGTCCCATTCCATTCGTATTGTTTTGGATATCTAAGGGCATTTCACAAATCCAGTTCACAAAGCTGCACAATCCCACAAGCAGTTGCACAGGGGTAACTCAGCAGGTGGCAAACAACATCCAGGATCCAGAAACTACTTAATTTGATTAAGCATAGCATGGAATGAGAAGCACTACGACTGTGGGATGCTGAGCTATGGCAGAAAACCTCTTGCAGTTCGAATGCCACATTTCAGGTCAAAAGGAATATTTTTAGCACTGCTTAACAGCTTTCAATGTTTTTTCCTCCCTCCCCCTACTTGCATTGCCTCTTCTGCTGCAAAAGTAACAAGAACAGACTCCTTATCTCTGACTAAACCACTAAGTTGATGTGCTTGCTGGAGAGCCACTCAGCTTCACTAGTCAGAGATATCTTGTATGCTACACAGTGGCAGCTGAATGGAGAAGAGATAATGAGATTTCCCTTAATAGTAGAGACTTCCTATTTTGAAACCAATCAGAAGTTCTTTCAAAGAATTTTAAAAGCCATTTGAAAGAAAGCAATTTCTTTTGGTTGCGCTGTTCAAAAAACAAGTTTAATTAATGACAATATAAAAGATCCAGAAGACACTGGATCCACACTGCAGGGTTGTAAGTCTCACAACATCCATTACTTTTGTTTCACTAACCACTGCACCATTGGACAAGGAGTAAGAAGCAAGAAGAGAAAAAAAAATCCAAACACTGAGTGTTTATTTTAATAATTAAGTTTTACGCTTGGCATCTGCCTTTTCAGGATGATGGAAATAAATCCACTCGACCTTCCAAGAGAACTATCCTGCATTGGAAAGCCTTTTAATCCAGACCAACACCGCCACTGCAGAGGGCAGGTTATAAACGAGAAGGACTCAGAAGAACACTTCTTGAAGAAATTGAGAGGTAAGTTACTCATTATCTAAAACTTTTACTAACTTTATTATTTAGCAAACTTTAGCAATACCTGCAAAAAAATATTGCTGCACAGTAGTGACCATGCTCCAAATTCTCACATTATAGATTAAAAGGAAGTACAGGACTTTCAGATGGGGCTACTACTATTTTAACTGGCAGAACCACATGCATTTTTTAGTAGAGTTGAATATCCTTTTTCACTAGATACGAGTAAGAGGAAGCAAGATAAGGTTGGTGAGAAATACATCACTAGAATTCAGTGCTTTACAAACACATGCTCTGAACACCCTGAAGAACACGCATGCATCCAGACAGAAAGCTAGTCAAGGTTCAAATGTACACAACAATATATTGCAGATTAAGCAAAAATAAATGACACGTTAAATATGAAACAAGCTAATCTAGCTTTTGAGAAGAACTCTAAATGAAAACATCTGCTATATCACCAAAAGAGAATTTAACTGCATTTCTTTCTTGATTCATTCTTACTAGGAGATATTAGTTTTCTTATTCTGTCTAGCAACAGAAGAATACTTTCTTTTACCACTGCATCTGGTATAATGTTTAACAGCACCTCATTCACCACACTGCTGTCATTTTTGCTTTAGGATGTGACTGCAGTGAATAAAAAGCTCAAATTTTAACAGTGTTCATAATGCTGCTTGAAAAGTATACATAGCCTGCTTCAAAAATTTTAGGTTTTCATACTGTTTTTAGGCTTACATTGTCAGAATAATTTTCTCAGATTTCTCAGTTAACTGCAAAATACTAACAAAGTATTGTTTTCTGAGGAACAATAGACATCAGGCTTCAAGTATTAAGTGAACCCAACAGACAGCAGGTATAAGAAAGATATCCTATCATTTGATCTATTCTGGTAGTAGCATAGCCATGAAAAGCTCCTCATTCCAACCTGCATGAACAGGGAAAAACAAAAACAATCGAAGAGAGGTCTCCCTTCCATTGGAATAATTCAATTCCCTCAGTTGTTCTTAGGATGTTTTAAGAACTCAAAAAATCCTTCATGTAAATAGATAAAGAATCTCAAGTTTCAGCTTAGCAAAGTTTAGTTTTATCACACAGCAATCTAAAAATCCCATTATATATACAAAACATAATTTGAAGAAATCCAACTGTAAAACAATGGTAAAACCCACAAACATTGTCATCTAGCTTGACAGGCAGATCATTCTTACAGCCCCTGGCCAAATCAAAACAATGGTTATCTTCAATTCGCAAAATTTCTCTTAAAACTCGTCAGTGGCTCTGCATAGACTGCTGTACATCACCCAACATCCTCAGGACAGCTCCATGTCACTTAAGAAGTGCCAGAGGCCTGAACACAAGATAGTAAGATAATAAGATAATACATAAGATAATAATGGCAAAATCCAGGGCCAATGAAACTGTGAAGTTTAGAAAACAGTACCATCATCTCTTATAAATATCATTGACATAGAGCCTGTCTCAAATGGTGGCACAAAGGCACAGTGGCACAATGCTGTTTTGATCATCTTTTATTTCTGCCATGCCCTGGGGAAGCATAAAGCATGATTTGCCATTGATCCTGTTATAACCTAAATATACTGCTGTTTGGCAGAGACAAACAGCAGTAAAAACAAACGTGATTTTGCAGTTCTAAATCAGGTAGTCTGAACTGGCAAGCTAAGGAAACAACTGTCAGTTCAATAGTTCAGCAATTTTAACAGGACAACTTAAGAGTCCTGCTCAAGAAGGATAGAGAAAACAGATAAGATTACTGCCAGCACTTTAAGTGGCATTTTGATCTTGTTCAACCTAGCAGTCCATCCTCTCCATCATTAAAAGATCTTTGAAGAACTACACATTAAATTTTTCAGTTAGACAGCACAAAGCCCTCAGAGGTGGGCACTGCCTTACCCACTGACTTAGTCAGAAAAAAATGTAGTTTTCACACCAGCAGACAGCTGAGCAGAAGCAGATCATTTACTGCATGAAGAGATCCTTCACCAGTAATTGCCTCACTTACATACATGTGTTCAAGTTTGTAAATACAAACCAGTCCTAGAGGTGACATTTTTACTTGCTTTATGTTTTTGGAATACTAAGCAGATAGAGGAAAATGTATTTAACACTGAACATTTCCACTACACGTACACATTTTTTTCCCTAATTAATTCAATGGATGGAGGTCAGGCAATTGGGGAAGTTGCATTCAGGGAAGAAAATTCCAAACCCAACAACTAAAAGCAGAATATAATAGAGTTAGCAGCACTGAAATAACAAGGAATAGAAAAAAATCTAGATATAGTTTTCTGTAGGGGATGGTGCAGAGAAGGACAAGATGGGATTAACATTTGACTCTTCTCCTGGGTACACTGAAGCGTAGCCAAAACAGCATTCCTGTTTGCCATTCAAGGGGACATTAGGTGATATCAAATAGAGATTGTGTTGAGAAAGCAATTTATCCAGACACAGGCTCTCCAAGTAATTTAGTAAGACCGTATCATTATACAGCAAACTAATTTCAAGAACTTAGTCCAAATCAAGGATATAAAAAGACAGTTTTTATATCATGAGAGCTCTCTAATCTTTGGCATATCTTTTATTCCACCAGCCTTCAAGAGAACTTCATACACACACACCCCTTCATTTCCTCTGTAAGAACTATCTCAATTCTAGACTGAACTTTTTGGAGCAATAGGATTTTTACTGTGTGCCTAACTGGAACACAGCACATGGGGACTCTAACTTAACTGCTAACCCAGTGCTGACACTAGAAATCAAGTAGTAGCAAGAATATATGACTTTTTTAAACCATACATCTCCCAGCACTCACAAATTGCTGGAGCCTAGATCTGCAGAAATTTAGCAGACATTTTTCTCCAGAGTACACACAGTACTCTAGAGAAAGAAACTAACACCTACAACTAGGTCATTCTCTCAATCCCTTCAAAGAACCACTGATGAATATTTAAAATTTCTTTTTTTTAAAACAAGCACAAAGTCTCAACTGTGGCTCTTGAAGCCCTCAGAACTACTTAATAACATTCATCACCAAGTGTAGCAAGTAAATGGATCAATACAGTGGGAAAGGCATCGCAACAAAGGTGTGATGACAAAAGGCACAATACGGAAAGGAAGGAAGACTGCTCATCCATATCAGAAGATTCTAGTTTCACAGGGGAAAGCTTCACCAAGGAGGGATCTCCAGGAAGAGGTCCTTCCCTAGCAGCAGTCAGCCCTTAACTGAGGTCTAAGAGAGGTGCAGCCAAATTCCACCCCTTCCTGTCACACAGCTGAATTGCCTTCACCTGTGCTCCCAGGGCTGACCGGGTCCTTTCCCAGGTGCTCAATCAGTGGTTCAGGCCAGACTCAACAGTTACCACACACCAAGAAAATTATCAATCTTCAGTATTCTTGTAGCACTGTATATGTTCAGATTAAATCAATGAGGCCATTAATTAAAAACATGAGAATAACAATATTGAACTTTCATAGTCAAACCCTTTTTTACTGAAAGCAGGTGATCACAATGCATTGCACTGCTACTTACATAAATCTAGCACTGTAGGCACAAAGTACCACACATCCCACTGGAACCTGGCCCACTGCATTATGCTTGAAACACACCACAGTAATAGAAAGCAGTCTAGGTTATAAAACAGAATACTACATCCATATGGATTAGAGGAAGTTATACTCACAGCTAGCATTTCTGTAGAGAAGAAAAGGTTCATGAAGCTGAAACTCCAAGTCTTTATTCACTGGTTCAACTAAGTTGTGCATGTTCAGTCGATTCACTATTGTAAAAACATGGTATGGAGAAGCAGACCTATTGTTTCAATTAAAACAAAAGCAAGGATTGAGACCTTGAACAACACAGTTTTCTGAAACAGTTATGAATTAATCCTCAAAACTCCATTATTTTATGAACTGACACTTTAGTAGTCCTGAATATCCAATATTTGTTCTTTTCTTCCAAGTCATCTCTTGGCGAGCCAACTAATGTCAATTTAAAATCATGCTTAACTCAACTACAATTAGAAATAACATAACAGTTGTGAACTGCAGAATCAAAGATACGCTGCAAAAAAAAAAAAAAAAAAGAAAAAAAAACGAAAATGCTGTTCAAAAACAAACATGTTGTACCCATAAGCAGCCACATAATGAACACAGCAGCAAAATGAAGGCCTCTGGGGCAGTAGCTTGTTTTAGGTCACTCATGTCTAATAAAAATAATTAGCTAAGAAAACAAAAGATACTCGGGCAAAAATCAGACATAATTAGGTATTAAGTATAAAGATTTTTATAGCAACACGGCCATGTTTACTGAATGACCAGCAACAAAATCTGCCAAGAGCTGCTATGGAGGAGGCAAACAGTCCTTGCCATTCCAAGGCTGTCTTTAATGTTCCTAACAGAGCTTTTGTGAAATAAACAGGTTGTCATGGGAAAACTCTCTCTTTAGTTTTTAATTTGATTGTTTTTCCTACACTATTTCCAAACTTGGAACTCAAGCAAAGTTAAGAGCACTAGGTTATTCGCATCCCTTTATAGTGCCAAGACAAAATTATTGGAACAACCTATAGTTTGTGACAGTATGCTTTGGGACAGGTTCATTATGTCTGCATTACTCACATCATACACACAGCAGACTTATTTCATTGTTAGGTTTCTGATTTGCAACTTAAAAGGTTTATTATTAGTTGTATTTATGGAGTGCTTCTGAAACAAATTATTCCTGTTCAATCCTTTTCTTTACCACAAGTAATTGTGAATTTCTTTCTGTTCTAATGAGGAAATCAAGAGGCCCCCAAGTGACTTAACTAGCATAATACATTTACAGAACCAGACAGGATATTAAAGAAATAAAGTGATGAGAGATTTTTTAATTTGTCATCTATACTGTTTTCATTAGCAACTTCACACATGTTAGAAAGCCAAGGATTTCTCAGCATTTAACAAACACAAAACCAAATGCTACTGTATTAACAAATGCAGATTGATAAACTACATTTCTGTGTGGATACATATGAAGCAATTACTAAGTATGACGATTTTTCAGCAGTAATTTTAACAGGGTCATTCGCCTTTGCACAGTTTAGTCCTCTCAAAATACACACATATATGTTAATCACTAGACAAACATTACTGCATGCAATAAATCTACTATGAAAGCTGCATATGGAGCCACATGAGTCTTGTTTTCTTCTTAGAGCAGAAAAGAAGACATAAAAATAACCCTTACCTTTTGTACACAAACAAGGTACCTTCTATGTCAGTCTTCTCCTATAAAAAACAGTACGTATGTTTAGGGAATATTCTCGCTAGCTTCTGTGTAATGTTTTAATTAGAGGTATCATTTACAATATTCTTATCTTGCCACAGAAGTTTGCCATCCCTCCTTTTCAGCAATGACCTCCTTTTTCCCTAGTAAAAATTAAATCCACTTCCAGGAGATGTACTTCATGTTCTTAACTCACTGATGTGTTACACGGCATACGCCCAGCCTGACCAGTCAGAGCCGAACGCTTTGCTCACAGCTCCTTATTCTCAGACACTGGCTGCTATCTGCACACAGCAGACAGGTCGCTTACTTAAATGCCCACAGTACCAGCACAGACAACAACAAAACAACGTAGCTATGCACCACAGCTGCTTCCCACTTGAAATTTCCAAGCTTACCACACGTGTCAAGGTCCCCAGTGCTGAGAGCCACACACAGCTCCAGGGCTGAGCACAAGAAGGTGAACTGCAGCGTATTTATGCCTTCTGAGCTTTGTGATGAGACGGCAGCAGTCAGAGAAAGTTGGAGGGGCACGGTACGGCTATGCCCTGACCCTGGGTAGCGCTTCTTCCTTAACCAACACCGCTAAAGGTGCCTCTTCCCTGCCGTCCGGACACCAAGACCCAAACCAAAAAGGAAAGCACCTCAGGCCAAAGCTACGCTTTAACGCAATGACGAACGCTGCTTCTCAAAGCCGGCTGTTCCTAAAATAGGGCTGCGAGCAACAACCGACGGCGAGATCCATCGAGCCGCCCGCCCTGCGGCACCAACCCCCGCCCCGCCGCCGCTCCGGCACGGACCGGGCACAGCTCTCCTCAGGCAAAACCGCCTCCCGAGCCGAACCCTGCCGGGGGAAGGCCCTAAATCCCAAACCGGGCGGCCGCGGCCCCATCGCGACCCGCCGCCCCTTCGGCCGGAAGAGCAGGGAGAGCTGTTCCCCACTTACCCACTCGTTAGCCTTCGGGCTGAAGCTGTAGAGCGCGACCTGCCCGGTCACGTCGGCGATACTGGTGATGTACGGATCGTGCTGCTTGAGGGCCGCCAAGCTGATCTCCTGCCCCGCTCTGCTCGCCGCCTCCATCTTGGCTCCCGGCAGCCACCCGCGGGGGCGGGCGAGAAGCGGCCGCGCGGTGTCACTGTGCGCACGGCACCGCCGCCGGCCGGAACGCTGAGCTCCGCGCCTGACGTTCCGCCCGCGCTCTGGGCCCCCGCTGCGCCCTGCTCAGCCCCACGGCAGAGCACGGTGGTACGCGGGGCTGGCTGAGTAACCCCGGGGTGTAGCTGTAACCCCCTCTACTCAGAACAAAGCACAAACAAAATAAATGCTCCCTTTTACTTTGTTACGCGGCAGCTGTCTTTGCATTTAACGAATCTGCTGTGATCATTTAAATTGCCATCGGTGGAATTGCCATCAGCCGTGCTGCCATGAGATGAAAAGACACACTGTGTAAAAAATGAAGAGACTGAAAATTCAAAGTCATGTGACACCATGTCTCACCATGGGATATCCTCCAGTACTATACGCCTATACAAAGACACCCAGTGTGAACTGCGTCAGATGAGATGTTCAGTTTACTGCACAGTTATCTCCCCACATCTGGGCATGCCTGGAGGAGGAATGGCACAAGATATAGAAAACTTCAAGGCTCACCATAGCCCAAGACTGTGGGAAGATTTTGTGTGCTCCATCCTGTACTGCAGAGCAGCACTCATGGGGCTTTCCTATGCTGCAGGAGGAGCTGCAGAAAATGGTGCAGTCAGTGCTACAGACTCAGTGGTTCTAATCTGGTGTCTGATTATTCCATAGTCTACATCAGGATGTGGAAATATGAAAACCCTTCTGAGGACGTAGAGAACGTCATGTAAGCTCTCCCTTACCACAGGTGATGTTCTTTACTGCAGATAGATAGACTTCTAGCAGTTAGCTCTTTAGTTTAATCTTCTAGGGGAATTGCCAAGTCTCTGCCTGAATCAATGGCTGAGCACCAGGTGCAGCTAACCTAGGGAGCTCAGGATCAAGCAATGCACTTGAGTGATCCAAAGAAGTGGGGCCTGGATCCATCCCTCCTCTCATTTAAGGGTAGGGTTAGCAGACAAGGGAACTGCATCTCGTTGAGACTGCATTTCTTTGGACCTATTGCTGGTTATTGGAAGGAATGAGTCAATTTCTTTTCTTTTTTTGTCATTCTGTTTTATATTGTTTGTATTCTAGGGAGAAGTTCTGTCATTGCCTTTGTTTGCCTTGTCTATCCTTTTCTATATAGGCAGATGTTTAAGGTATGATAAGGGTCTGGCTGTCGTGTGGCTCCATAAAAAGTCTTTCTGATGAATAGTAGAAAAGTCAAGTTCCAGTAGGATGCAACTTACTTATTTTCCAAGTAATTCTTTTTTTGAGTGAACGCTAATTTATTTATTTTGATGTCAGACAGTTCAAGTATGAAGTCATTTCATTTTTTTTTAAAAAGGTAATCTAGACAAAAAAATTCCTATGTATTTCATTCCACTAATTTGCCACAGAATCATGAGAACCAAACATGAGTTAAAGAAAAATCATACCAATTATGGAGAACAAGCCATGAAGAAAGCCCCATGAATCTTCCATCTCTTCTTTCTCTGAGGAGGTCTTATCTAATCTATAAAACTCAGATTTTCACTGGTTCTCTTAGTGAAGTGCATAAAATCAATTCCATTGAAGGGTAGAGAATGACACATAATATGATGTCAGAGAAACTTTGTAAAAATGTCTAGTCATGATTTAGTAATGCTTCCAGTTTAGTAATAATGACAGTATGAAAAAGTCCAATTCTGAAAGGAATATTTGTAAATAAGACATTCAACATTCAAAAGGCTCAAATGACAAATGACAAAAACTTTTTAACAGTTGATTTTAAATAGCATCTGAAACACCAATCAATTTATTTCTATAAGGTCGCATAAAACAAAGGTATCTTAAAACAAAAAACTTGACGAAGAACAGCTTTCTGCTATGCGAGACCTTTTCAGCTGTGAAAACTCCTTGACTGTATCTTAAATTAAAAATGAAACATAAGGAGCAGTGTTTTCCAGTTATGGAATTGTTATGGATTGTTTTCCTCCTTTGCCTGCTAATTCCACTTCTGCGTTTGAGAGATTTATTCTCTCTGCCCTTCTTCAGTGCTGTTGCCTTGCAAGAATACATTTTATATCAGAAATGAGTCATATGACCTGCCATCTGCTTCCTCAACCTTGAAGGACGCTGAAGTGTATGATATACTTAGATCCGAGCTGTGACCTATGTGAACTGAAATGTTTGTTGTCTCCATTCAGGCCTGTTCTGATTATTGTATATCACAGATTTCTTTGTCCTTCTCTGAAGCTATGCAACAGTCACTGCTGGGAAAAGTTCATCCATTGCTCTCTCTCCCACAGAAGTGGGATGCTGTACATCATTATGTTATGCCCTTTTGATGTTTCCTCTGTGAGCAGGACAGATTCCATTTGTGTTTCAACAAACAAATGAACATTGTGTCATGTATTTCAGTTATTTAACTGTGGTTTATAGGACAGAATATTTTGATTTATTACCCTATGTACTTTTATCTGCTTGATATATGTTAATATTAAGGTAGGTGAAATAATAAAAATCCTCTTTTACCCCTGCAGTTGCTTGTGACAGCATGACTGGGCCTCTCTACTGATGGCTGCTCTGCTCTTTGCAATTGTACAGATTCTTTCTCTCTGCCCCCCCCCTTTTTTTTTCCACACAGCAAATTAGTTATGTGCTTCCAAAGCTAATTTTGCTTCCTTTCAGACTTAACACAGGAAAAAAAAAAATTCCACATTCTGCAATACCTTTGTTTTTCCCCTGTTAACTGCATGCTGTCAGGAAAGAATACATTGCTGCTGTTAAAATGATGGAGCAGTGCAGTAAGCATTCCTAGTCAGTGCCTTTTCTGTTAGTACTACAAGTTGAATCATAATCTGGTGGAGTCCAGCAAACCCAAGTGACTCACAGAGCTGCCATTCTGTAACCTTCACTGTTTTCCACTTGAAACAAATTTCAGAAGTTTCTGATATGTCATCTGTAAAATATATTATGATGCTTTTTATTGGTTTGATTTCTGATTTCCTTGAATTGCAATAGCAGGCAATTCTCGCTTTATTTATTAGTAATTGTGTTGGTATTTATACCTTAAATTTTAGTGTTAATGGTTGTAATTCTATGGAGTTCATTTATCTGGGCTTAGTTTTAGCTAGGGCAGATTGCCCTGATGAATACTTCTCTTATCTATTGATTAGAGAAGTCTTAGCAGACTTCCATTTTGCATTTGAATTCCTTGGACAGGCTTGCAAATATTTGTCTTCTCCTTTCTGTGAGAGACATCAATTTCTAGGTGCTTTTTTAGATTTTAAAGAGGTGAAAACTGTAGGGAGGGGAGGATGCTAGAACTTTGCTGGGATGCCATTTTGTTTGAAAAATAATTTTTATTCTCAAGAAATGCTACTTGAGCCTTTTTATTTGCTTGCTATTTATTGTAGTATTTAATTCAGTTGTACTCTTTGCTCTTCTTTTAAGGCACGTTTGACCTTTGACATTGGTGAGGCTGTCAGTTCCTAATATTCAGTCTCCTCACTGTGCTTTACAGTTACAAATAATTCTTCATATGATGATTCTCTGGTGTTATACTGGTGTAGGGTAACTGAACGCTACTACGTTTGGAGGCAAAGACCCATCTCCTTGTGGCTGACATCTGAGAATTATAATTGTTGAGAACTATTTCAGGAATGGGCTTCTGTGCTACATTCACTAGCAGTTTATGCTATATTTATGTGCATGCAAAAGGTTACCTTTCCTGGAAATCATTTTGCTCTTTAGGAGTGCTGAATGAATCCCAGGCTTTTAATGTCTTCCAACCTGCAGTATGTTCTTTCTTCTCTAATGCTGTGTCCACAGGTACTTTCTTGCCATTTCACAGTAATGGATATTTAACCTTAGCTTTGAAAAATCTTCTTCAGCCCTTAGAGGAAGCTTTTCCAAATGATTGTATATTGCAGTTATAGAGAAGCAACATCTACAGTCTCTTGGTCACCAAGTTAGTTTCCATTTGTTTTTCCCTTGGTTACAAAACTAAACTTATTAGAACACTTGCTGATCGTCATTAGGATAAAAAAGCATCAGGTATACAGCCAGGGTATATTCCTTGAATTTTTAGTGACTAAATTTTTGATAAATTTGTCAATTCATTATAGTCTGAGTGTTATACTTTGTAGGAATTGCATAAAACTGAAGGGAATTCAGGGATAAAAGTAGAAGAATGGCACAAGACTTGGAGAACTGGCCTTGTGAGAAAAAGCAGAATAATTTCCTATGTTGCTGCATCACAAGAAAGAGAAAATTAAAGGAGTATGGTGGTCATTTGATGTATAAAAGATCTTTATGAAAGTCAGCTCTCCACAGCTACTGGCAAAAGGACAGAATCAAATCTGGTTACTGTGCAGCAGATATAATTAGGTTGTGTTCATTGCAATTCTAATCAGAAGGAATTGTTACGTGATACATATTAAAAAGGTTCTGATTTTTTTTTTCCTCCACTGTTTCTTCTTGAAGATCAGATGCTTACAGTATCTATCAGAAATGATCTTTGCATACTTCCTACATTTGTGCAGTGCCTCTTGTTAATTATT